GCAGCTTTTGAAAGGATGAACCCAACTTAATACTACAAAACACATACACACACACAGATGTATCAGTTATTTGAATAGTCAAGTTTGAGCACAAAGAGGTTACAAATTGAATAGTAGGGACTCAATCGGACAGCTTATAGTAAAATAGGTTACAAATTGTGGCCTGGAGGTTAACAAAAAACAAGATTGTAATTACTAACAGAAGTATGTAATTGATTACTAATTTGCGTCAAGACTCATGCATAACGAACGGCAAAAACAACTCTAGCATTATGGTATACAAAACAACTAACAAGAATAGGAACACGGTATACCACTTGCCCTAGTATAAGGTACACCTCCCTATTACACGACCTAAAAAAAAGGCTTGCAATTGAGGCAGGCTTATATAGCTTATAACATTGGAATTCTTAAGTACTTCTAACTGTAAGAATTACATTTTATAGACAGTTAGACATTTAATAAAACAAAATTTATTAAAATCTACTTACTTTTAGGTTTTCTTATTCTTCAAATTAATCAACTAACATCACTATCCGAACAGCATTATGGTCCCCATTTAGATCTTCTCTTGCCAAGACTCCAATCTTTCTAGATTTTACATCATCATATTTGAATTTTTTCCTCATAAAAAACAAGTAAGAAAATTTTGGATCACTTTACTAAATAAACCATGTTTCTGAATGTGATCCAAAATGTATATTGGTAGAGAATAAGAGTTTAGCAACCATAAAAGTCTCTTGAGTTCTTTAGAAAAAAAAAAAAAAAATTGAAGTTATCACATAAACTCCCAAAGGAATAAATCATTTTTAAGAATACAAGCTTCAATATTTTACACTCAAAGATGCAAGAACACTAATAGGTGCAAGAACAATCAGCTCCAAAACTAATCAGAATAAAGAAATTACTTCGTAATTTGAGTAAACAACATACTCTTTCTTCTTCTTTTTTTCCCAGCTGAATGGTTATTCAAAACTATCATCAAGTTCAAATTTGAGGAAAAATAGCTTCTTTTCCTGCTCCAATGGTTTCATCAAATACGTATCAAATCCAGAATTTTACTTTTCTTTCATCAAACTGAGAATCATTGTGCCTTTCATCAAATTACTATTCATTACCGTTGGATTTTCACCACTGGATGTCTCCTAGATGTCTCCCCGAATGAACCACCTCAAGACAAAAATTTGTGAAAAAATTGCGCTAGCCGGTAGACCAGTGGTTTGGTAAAACTACAAAACCCTCCATTAGAGCACTTGATATCAAATGAAGTTTTTATTCAAATTTGGTGAAAAAAATTAATGCACCGTCGGAGATGCTCTTAAACCTAAAAAGTGTACCTAGCAAGGAGGCTACCAAATCTGACGTCAATATTAGGGCTTCAAGCACAATTTTTCCTATAAAAACTCCCAATGCAAAAAGATATCACACAATAGTTTCATGCAATCATCATGCAGTCAACATTTCACCCATTAAGATTTTAAGCAGTTTGCAAGAAACTATCAGCCATCTGTATTGGCACAACTTACACCAACAGTGAGACTCAGTCACACGGTATAGAGTCCAAGGATAATCAAGTTCAGTGGATGCTTGCCGATACACATACATAGGCCACAGCACCGCATTTTAATGAGACTTGCATGTTAGTATTCAAAACTAGACATGTAAAGCCAAGAAGAATTCTTTTAAGTGAATGGTGACCGCTCATCATTAATGCCAAATTTTTTTGCCTTAAAACTTTAATTCATCACCACGGAGGTTGTGTTTGTTACTTGTCATCAGCACGGAAACCATACTAATCCTAATCCCGTGCCCATCGTTAAGCCAACAATACTACGTACCCATAAAAATTATCTAAAAAAATGCTTCGCATCCTACCAACTTTAAATTTACACCGTCCACCGTCTCATTTTCGGGATAAATTTTGGGGCAAAAATCATGGTTACAGAGCATTTTTCTTTAGCAGATCCCAAAAAAGATGAGATATAGTAGACACAAAGCTAACTAATGCAGAAGAGTAATATAGTACATACATAGATACATATATACATAACCCAATACTTCTATTCTATAGCAATTACCAGCAATAAACAAGTAACTATGAACCAGAGAACACCACAAAATTTTATAATAATTAAAAAAAGAGAGTCAAAACCCCAAATGATCAAGAGAAAAAACTAAGCCACAAAAAAGAAAAAAGAAAAGAAGAAGAAGTATAAAAGGAAGTCAAAGAATAACCAAGCCAAAATTCCAATTCAATCCTTTAAAAATATCCCAATTTTATAAATCAAACAAATAGTAAAATTGTAGAGATCTAGGATACAGTGTTCCCTCCTCTATGTCCCCCTTCGTGCTCAGGGTCTCGAACCCGTACACAAACGCCCCAGAGGTTACTCATTAATGCAGTCGCGCTTCTAGATTTTTCTAAAATTATAAAAATACCCCTTATTTTGCCTAAATATACACGTTAAATTACACAAACACCCCAGAGATTTCTTGGGAGGTTCTTGATCCTGAAAATCTCGTCTCCAAAGCCATGGATAAAGCAACCAAGTAAAACTGGTGACTGATTGCTCTTTGATCAGTGATTCACCGGCCATTCACCGGACAGTTGATCGGTGAAGAAACTCTCCAAATTTCTGCTTTTTGATTGCATCATTACAACAACGTTCAATGTAGACATTTCTCCAGATATTTTCAGAAGTGGAAATAACAACAACAACAACAACTGTTTGTATCATTTGGTTGCAACCAAAGAATGAATGGAAACCTGAAGACTTGGCACTTTGTATATTATTTAGCTCAACTGAAAAGGGGTCATGCATCCATGGTCACAATCAAATCTTCAGCAGAGCTAATGCATTTCAAATAGAAAGTGAAACTTCTATCCCAGATATTACTAATGATGTTAGCCTATTCGTATACCCTGCTGCTTGCTTTATTTCCCCTGTTAACGTTAATTCTGAAACAAGTCTTTGCATCTAATTTTTATTCGAAGTCTTGACGACTATAAGTTGAAGTGTGAGAAGGTTTAGTTATTGTTATCTTTGATAACTGAGAAGAGGAATTCTGTTTTTTGAAATTGATTAAAACCAAAGCTAAGTACAAAATATATAAACTCATAGAGTAAACCCTAATAACCTAAAAGACTAAATTACCCTCAATTGAGAACATAATAAACCCTGATAACCTAGAAGACTAAATTACCCTTAATTGAGAATATAAAATACAAATACAATACAATTCACACCCCCCCTCAAACTGAGGATGCGAGGGCAAAAAGTATCGAAATTTGCTAAGAAAAAAACGAAAACGAGCAACAGTGTGAGTCTTCGTAAAGAAATCGGCCAACTGAAGAGAGGAGGGAACAAAAGGGAGAATAATAGTGCCAGCCTAAAGATGCTGTCTAACAAAGTGACAATCTATTTCAACATGCTTAATCCGCTCATGGAAGACTGAATTATGGGTAATCTGGACAGCACTCTGATTATCACAATACAATGGAGTCGGATCAGAAAGGGAGACACCCATATCAGAAAGAAGTCACTGAAGCCAAACGATCTCAGAAGTAGCATGAGCCATGGCGCGATATTCAGCCTCAGCGGCGGAACGAGCAACAACAGACTTTTTCTTACACTTCCAAGATATGAGAGAATCTCTGAGAAAAACACAAAGACCAGAAGTGGATTTGCGCTCAGAGACATCACCTGCCCAATCAGCATCAACATAGGCACGAAGAGACAAGTCCGAAGACGCAGATAACAGCAGACATTGCAACAAAGTGCCACGAAGGTAGCGCAAAGTACGAAGTAAGGCAGCCCAGTGCGTAGAACGAGTAGCAGAAACAAACTGACTGAGAATATACACAACATATGAGATATCCGGACGAGTAACAGTGAGATAAACAAGACAACCAACCAACTCGCGATACAAAGTGGGATCCTCAAGAGGAATGCCATCAGAAGCAGAAAACTTAGCATGCAACTCAATAGGAGTGTCGATAATTTTGTCATTAGTGAGATTGACACGAGAAAGAATATCATAGATAATAGATATATTTAGTTTGAGAGAGAAAATACTCAGTAGGAGAAGTAGCAACCTCAATACCAAGAAAATATTGAAGAGACCCCAAATCCTTCATCTCGAACTCCTGAAACAACTGATGCTTAACCTCCTCAATAGTACTAGAATCAGAGCCAGTGATGATCATATCATCCACATACAAGAGAAGGAGAACAAGGCCAATAGAAGTGCGCCGAACAAATACAGCACAATCATGATGACTAGAGCGAAATCCAAGTTGAAGTGCAACAGAGTGAAATCGCTCATACCAAGCACGAGGAGACTGCTTGAGACCATATAGAGCACAGCGAAGACGACAAACAACACCACGAGGGTGAGAAAGACCCGGTGGAGCACGCATATACACTTCTTCAGCAAGATGCCCATTCAAAAAGGCGTTTTTGACATCAAGTTGAAACAAAGACCATTGATGGGCAGCAGCAACAAAAATAAGAGTGCGAACAGTAGTCATCTTGGCAACGGGGCCAAAAGTCTCATCGTAATCAATCCCATACTCCTAAGAAAAACCCTGGGCCACCAAACGAGCTTTATACTGTTCTAAAGAACCATCAGAAAGAGTTTAGACCTTATACACCCATTTACAGCCTACAACATTCTTACCAGCAGGAAATGGAACCAAATCCCAAGTCTGAGTGTTAGCCAAAGCAGTTAACTCGTCATTCATTGCAAGCTTCCTTGTACGACCTGGGCTCAAAATAAATATGAAGACAAGAAAGAAAAGACTGATAGGAAAGGGACAAACATGTATTACCAAAACCATACAAGTTCGGAGGATGACGGTCTCGCCTTGGAAAGCAATGTGCAAGAGGAACAAGATCCAAAGAAACAGTTGGAGGGACAGTAGATCTAGACACAGGCGAGCTCGGAAGTGTTTTGCAGCGCTGATAAACAAGAAGAGGAGCAGGGGAAGCAGGAGCTGGAGAGGGAGCTGGCGAGATATCAGAAGTGTTAGTAAGAAGCAAGGTAGAGACCTCAAGATTAGAAACAAACTCATCGGGAGAAACATCTTGAGGAAATGGGTCAACATGAACCAATTCATCCTTGATAAGAGGAACAGGGGTGGAATGCATAGTGTAGTAGGGTAATTTTTCTAAAAATGTGACATGCCTAGACACATATAGCTTTTTTGGCGGCAGGATCATAGCATCGATAACCTTTCTGATTAATGCCATACCCTAATAAGACACATAGGACACAACGAGAACTAAGCTCAGAGCGTGCCCGTTTAGGAAGGAGCACAAAGCATGCAGAACCGAAAATACGCAAAAGAGAATAATTAGGAGTAACACCAAAAAGACGCTCATACGGGGATGAGCTAGAAAGAAGAGGAGTAGGCATCTGATTGAGAAGATATGCAGCAGTGAGCACAGCTTCTCCCCAAAAGACAGAAGGGACAAAAGACGAGAGCAACAAAGAACGAGTTGTATCACGGAGATGGCGATGTTTGCACTCAGCTCGACCATTTTGGGCAGGAGTGTCAGAACATGAAGACTGATGAATAGTGGCATGAGTGGCTAAAAACTCCTCAAACTCGGACAAGTAATACTCACCTCCCAAATCAGAATGGAGAACTTTAACGGTGGTAGAAAACTGAGTGCGAACCCTGGAGTGAAAATTAGAATATATTTTGTAAAAATCAGATTTTCGAGTCATCAAATATACCCAGGTAAACCGACTGTAATCATCCACAAAAGACACATAATATTGTGAACCACCCTTGGTAACTATAGGGGAAGGACCCCAAACATCAGTATGAACCAATTGAAAATGAGAAGAAGAAATAGAACTACTTTTACTAAAAGGAAGAGCAGACATTTTAGCCATTTTACAACCACGACACTCAGAAATATCATCAATGGGAAAATTGCCTAAATGTCCAGACCGGACTAACATCCTCAAACGATCACTCGACAGATGACCTAACTTAGAATGCCAAATATAAAATAAAGAAGACTTATTGTTTAAATAAAAAGAAGACAATGCAGTAGAAGACACTTTTAGAGGAACATGCAAGCTGTCCAAGATATATAGTTCTCCAACTCTACGCCCGATTCCAATCTGCCTCTTGGATACCCGATCCTACACAACACAATGAGAAGAAGAGAAAACAACATCAAAACCGAAATCAGATAATTGACTAATAGAAATAAGATTGAGTAAGAGGTGAGACACATAAAATACAGGAGAAAGAGACAAATGGGAAGAGGAAATAGAACCAATAGAGTGAACAGGCATAGAAAAACCATTAGCATTAGCAATAATAATAGAAGAAGAAGGAGAGACACAATTACTAAGGAAAGATGCAACAGGGGTCATATGATGTGAACAACTAGAATGAAAAATCCACGAAGTGTGTGGATATTACCTGAAGATGATGAACCAGACAAACCTAACTGAGTGGTAGTCATAGCGGAGGCTTGGGACGAAAAATTTGGATTGGCCACCATGAAAGACTTGAATTGCTCAAACATAGACTGTATATTGGAAGACAGATCGTTCTCAAAAACTGGTGCAGAGAAGGCGGCAGATGAGCGAAATCCTGAAGATGTTGGCTTAGAGGATGGTGGACCAGATGAACGACCCTTGGGCTGCAAAAGTTTAGGACAAGCATGTTTCCAATGACCTTTCTGATGACAGAAGCTGCACTCATCCATGGAAACTCGAGGCTTGGGCTTACCAATAACTTGAAATAAATGAGATGGTGGGGTAGGCAAGAGTGGAGGAGTGGCAAAAACTAACTGGGAGGCAAGAGCACCATGAGCCACCTTGAACCGAGTTTTTTCCGCAATAAGCTCATGAATAGCACCATCAACAAAAGGCAAGGGGGACCGATGAAGAATAGCTCCCCGAAGTGGCTCAAATTGATCATGAAGGGCCATAAGAGACCGAACAAGACGTTGCTTCTCCCGATACTTGGTATAACTATCAAGTAATTGCAAATCTGATGGTTCCATTAAAGCAAGTTGATCCCAATAAGTTGTCATCTCATTGTAGAATTCCTGAATTGTGAATAGACATCTCAAGTTCATACTGTTTTGCAAAGTTAGACTCAAGGTACATAGTTTTCAAATAGTCCCAAACTTATTTAGAAGTAGAATACTTCGAAAAATTCATACCAATGGTAGTTTGAACTAAATTATGAAACCAAGTAAGAATTTATGCATTTCCCTTATCCCATTTAGCAACATTAGCCTCAGTTTCTTGGAATTCCATAGGTCTAATTGTTACACCAATAACATAGTTCCACATGCACCCATTATAAAAATTTTCATTACATGAGACCAATAAGAATAATTGGTACCATCCAACTTAGTAGTGATAGCTTGCAATTTATCATCAGCCATATTGCTATACCCAAACTACGCAGTGAATTCAAAACAGGATGAAAGGCAGCAGAGAAGAGAGAGAGAGAGACATTAATGACCTGTTTGGTCCTCGTCATTCTCTTCCTCCTCAACTGAACCAAACAGAGATAAAGATAGGTCGAAACAGAGAGAAGATCAGTGAGATACCCAACCTAGGTTTCCGAATGAACCAGAGACCAGTGACGAAGGATCAGAGACCAGCGATGAAGGCTTCCTAGGGTTTCGATTGAACCAGAACCAGAACCAGCAAGTGTGAGACGAACTGCTTCGATGTGCGAAGAAGAGAATCCGAGCGAAGCCTTGCAACGACCTTGTGAAGAGAGAGAACGAGCTGCGATGGCCTTGCGATGAAAGAGAGACAGTTGCAATGGTCGATGATGACTTGCGGCAGGTATGCTAATGTTTGTAACCTTGCTCTGATACCATGATAACTGAGAAAAGGAATTCTGCTTTTTGAAATTGATTAAAACCAAAGCTAAGTACAAAATATATAAACTTATAGAATAAACCATAATAACCTAGAAGACTAAATTACCCCTAATTGAGAATATAAAATACAAATACAATACAATACAATTCACAATCTTCAGCGTGAAGTTGACAGTATGCACGACTTCATAAATAAACGCAAACACACATTTTCTCATATTTTCTCAGGGATGTTATACGGTCTTATCTTATTGACCACAGTCGCTAGTTAAGAAGGCTGAAAGCGCATGTAAAATATGACAAAGCGCATGTAGAATATGACAATACTGCCAGCCAGGTACGTTTCAAAATTTTTCCCAGAAACCAAGGAAGTCATTGGTAAACAAAAAGCTTGTGTTGTTTTAATGGATTCATATAATAATTGCTAGTTCGTATAGCAAGATGGTCACAGAATACATGTGCACTATGAGATAGGTCAACCCAAAAAGAGACCACAAAGTTAGCATTATAAATATTCATTATATCAGCGAGACCATCCTCATGTAACAAACAATAATGCAAAGAATTGGCACAACTTTGGATGATATTTTTCATACAAAAATGTATAACAAGCACAACATAGTCCTGTAAATTGATGATAATATAAGAAAATAAATAAAAAAGTGCCTAGAAGACCTCAGATGCTGCAGTATCTTTCTGCAGAATACCACCTAGACATGTCTCAACATGTTCGGAATTCTGTTCACATAGTTTATCAACCAGAGAACGGCAAATACATTCACGGAGCGTGTAACCTATGCTAAACATATAATCCAACACAAGTATAGCCTCATCCAGCTTATCTCCTTGTGATAGACATTGAATTAGTCTCTCAAAAGTTTGCTTTTGCGGTTTGAGGTTACGTCTCAACATTGCAGCCAACCATTCCATCCCCTCGGCTACATACCCTTTATTGCTCAATCCAGTTATGATGAAATCATGAGTACATACTGCTGGTTCCACGCCCCTATTCTGCATATCCTCCCACAACTCTTTTGCTTCATCCACATCACCCATCTCACAAAGTTTTTCTATGAGGGCAGTATAAGTAGCAGCTGAAGGTTGCATACCCTTCTCTAAAAGTTCAGCCAAAAGATTTATACTTTCATCTATTTTCCCTTCCTTGCAGAAACCCTGAATCAAAGAATTGTACGTGATAATATCACGAGCAATTCCCTTCTCAGCCATTTCTTGAAACAACACATGAGCTTCCTCTGTTCTTCCATGCAAACACAGCCCTCTGATCATAGTGTTGCAACTCACTGTGGTCTCTTTATAACCTTTACAACACATTTCATTGTACAACTCCTTCGCCTCTTTGAGATTACCAATCCTACATAACCCATAAATGAATGCATTGTACGTGTATTCATTTGGAACTATTCCTTTGTGAACCATCTCAAACCAAAGCTTCCGAGCCTCCCCAATCCATTTCATCTTGCAAAGACCATGTATCATCGTTGTGTACATGACCCTATCCGGAGCATACCCTCTATCCTTTAAATCATTGAAAATCCGAAATCCTTCATGCCGCATTCTTCTCTTGCATAGCTCTCTGATAATTTCCTGATACGTAAAGATATCAGGGCGTTGGTTCTTTGCAATCATAGTATGAAGGAGAGCAGACACTCTCGAATAGTATCTATCCTTGCAAAATCCAGATATCAATTTATTAAAAGCAACATTACTGGGAACAAACCCATCTTCCAAAACTTGCCTAAGAAGCCCAAAACCTTTCAAAACATTGTTATCAATACAAAAAGCTTGAATCAAATACTCAACTGTATCCACATCCCCTGCAACACCACTACCCATCATCTCTTCATACAACTTCCAAACAACATCGGTTCGCCTAGCTCTAACCGAACCCAACAAAGCCGAATTCCATGTTTCTAACAACGGGCAAATACCAAGCTTTTGCAATTCATCAAACACCTTCAGTGCTTCCTCAATTGACCCATTTTCACACAGACATCTAACATAAGCCTCTAAAGAAGCAGGTTGAGGAGTAAAATCTACAGAAGTCAAAAACGATTTCGCAGCATTGGCAGCTTTAGCTTCTACAAGACCATCAAAAATCACATCACACGCCAATTTATCCGGTACAAAGCTACATTGAGAGCTTAGCCAAAGATAGAAACGGAGAGAAAGAAGCACATTGTTTTGCTGCTTCCAAAGCTCAATAAAAATGTTGGGATCGAAGAGATTGATTGAGGGAAAATCTGAGAGTAGAGTTTGTTCCCATCTGGGTCGAGTCCGAATGACCCTCGAAACCTCTTTAGCGATCTGGGTTAAGCCCTGGGTCTTCGGCTGTTGATGGGTCTGAAGAAATTCTTCGCCGCCATTGCTGAGGCAGAGGTTTCGGATTTGGGGGTTGAGGTTTTGGATGGAGCGATGGTTTTGGTGGCGGAGGAAGAGGGTTGTGAGAGATTGCGGAGGTCTTGCCATTCACTGTGGTAAGAGTTGATTGTTATTAGGGTATGAATATGGACGGTTTTGAGTATATATAGAAAGCATGTAAAGATGAGCAAATTAGGACTTACATGTATGGAAGGAAGCTCCAATCTCGTTCAAAAAAGAAAAAGAAAAAATGTAAGGAAACTCCGATCGACTAGAGTGATGAGGAATGAGAATGGATCGGAACGATGAGCAAACACACGAATTCACGCAAGCAGTCGAATTCACTGGTTCAGATTGCTAAACAGTGAGTCATAAGCCCCTAAATTTAATTTTGAAATTTTTAGAATAATAGTCGCAAGTTCTAATTTAAAATATCATATTACTTAATATCTATTTACGTGGTATCGACTTATCTACTTAATTAATGCATTTATTTATATTATTATTATTATCATCACTAGTTAAAGTCAGCCATTTTTAGAGGTTATTTGGGATGTCATAAATAAATGTATTTTTTGTCTTTTTAGACTAAAAAGTTGAGATTGAAAATATGAACGTTTGGGTTAAAATTAGAATTGGGAGTTGTGCAGCTGTAATTGTTGACTTTTGGTGAATAGTGATAATTTTTTAACTTTTTGAGTAACTTTTTAACTTTTTAACTTTTTTGAAACTTCCCAAACTTGACCTTAATGAATTTTTGAATGACCGTCGAATGGGCAATCTGGTGGTGATGAGTATAAATTGAAAAAATTATTTCTCAAAATAATAACTTATGATTTATCACCAAATAATTTCATTAAATATATATTCAAAAAAAATATTAGTCCCTCTTCAAAAATTAAATACAAAAATAATATAAATTTACTATTTTATTTTTTTAAAAAAAAATTAATAAACAATATAAAAAGTACAATTATGACATTGATATTCCAAAAAAATGTACTATCAAAAGGGTAATTTTGGAAAATCAATTTTTTTAAAGTACAATAATTGTACTATCAAAAAAAGTTAGCCTGCGTTTGGTTGTGTTTTGTAAATGTGATTTGAGAGTATGAGTTTTATTTTGAGTTTGTGTGTTGTAGAATTATGATTTGAGTGTAGAAAATTTGTTTGGTAAAGAGTTTTGAAAATAGTTTTGGAAAAGAGGTTTGATTTGAGTGGAGAATTGTTGATGTGACATTTGATATGTGATACAAAAATTTACAACTCATAACTAAACATACAACTCAAAATTATTTTAAAACACATAAAAAATTTTAAAAAATTCAGAAATGCGGCCTGTGCATCAGAGTTCCTCAGGCAAAATTTTGACAAAAATGCGGCCTGTGCATCAGAGTTCTCTACAGAGAGTGTGGAAAATTGATTTCAAAACCATAACCAAACATCATACTCAAGCACACGTATAGAAAATTGATTACAAATCATAACTAAACAGAGCCTTAGATTTCCTAAAAGGGACCATTATTTTGGGATAGAGGGAGTAGTACTTTTAATTTTCCAGAAGCTCTACATTTTAAGATGCAACCGAGGTGAGATCATCAATTTCGGTCTTTTGGGAAGTAAAAAAAGAAAATTCAATTTTTAACTTTTTACATATTTTGAGTCACATTATCTCTTATATTTCTTACTTACAAAAAAATAAAATAAAATAAAAAATCTAAAAAATTAACATTTTACCAACTATCCAAAACACCACTCATATCAATATCAAATGGTTACTGAAATTTGATGATCTGAGTTAGGCCCATTACATATCTCCTGCGAGTCCAACCTATATATATATATATATATATGTGGTGTACGTACCCTAGCCAGGTCTAAACCAACTGCCCCAGAGGAGAGAGAAGATCGAACCCAGATAGAGTCGATAGCGACTCACTCTGCACATGTGAGAGAGAGAGAGAGGAGATGAGTTGTTCTGTGTAGTCTAATGGATTTGCACAATTCGATCGCGCTTATCACCTGTTATCGATGATTATCTGCTCCGTAAATCGAAATCACTCAAATTTCGCAAACAAAAAGATGCTGAATTGATTGTCCCCGCCACAATGAACCCATTCTCGGCCACAATGCATGTGATTTGTAGCCCTAGAACTGGCTCAGACACTTCAATTTCAGCTTGAACCACCTTATACATGCTCTTTGCTTGCTGTTTCGGCACAAAACCCTAACTGAGTCTCTGGACCGATATGCGAAGGTAAAACCCTAACACCTTTTCTGTTTTTCTCACTCATTGTACTCTTTTCAGGGTGAATTTTTTCGTTCTGATGGTTTTAATTGGGTATAGTTTTAGCTGTTGATTGAATGATCTCATGTTCTATGTGTATTTGTTCTTTATTTTAAACTGCCTTGTGCATATATTTTAAATTGGGTTTGGATCAGATTGTGAACCAACACCTTTATTCATTTTACGACCCATCTAGTTGGATTATTTAAACAACATTATATATATATATACATATATATAATGAAAATGAGGTTTTTAACTTTTGTAACTCTTATCTTTTGATAATGGAGTTAATGATCATATTATACACATAAGAGTTTTGCACCTTTGTAACTTTAGCCCTAATGGCTAGAGTTGATGGCCATTGATGCTAGGTTTTATGGTAGCCTTCATGGTTAAAACCCCTTCCCTACAAATATAAAAATGGCCTTCCCCTCCAACTTAGATAGATGAGATAGAAATATTTTTGAGATGGAAAATTTGTAATTTTCTTTAGATAAAGTTAGAGAAAACTTTTATGCTAAAGAAATTTTTCTATTTTCTTTGTGCTAACCCCTTCTTTGGTTCTTGCTAGAGAGAGAGCGCTGCCATTGTCAAGTTCACCGGAGCTATTCAGAAGGTGCTTCTACATTAACTGGTTTCAACTGTCGTATCTTGGGAGACAGACGCCAGCATATCTCTAGCACTTATTGGGAGGCGGTGAATATGTTTTAAGGAAACTGTGGTATCACACAGGTTTCGGTTTGCATCTCTTATCTTTTGTTCTTCATATTTTTAGACTTGAATTACTCCTTGCATATTATTTTATATATTCATGAGAATTCATCTTGTAATATGTTTCATAATGTAATCTAGTTTATTTATGTATTTTTAGTTGTATAATTTATTCTATATTTAATTCTTTAATAAATAAATAAATAATTTATTTTCTCATTTCTATTTATTTTTATTTTATATAATTTTCTTATATTATCATGAGAAAATACCAACAAAATCTTCTATAAATATCATTTCATCATTTCATTATGTGTGCATGATACCTCTCTAATCTAATTGGTGATGAGAGCCATTGGAATAGAGAAACAGGAGATATTCAAATTTAAAATTCCTTACCAAGGGACGAGAGATGTAAGATTGCTCGAGATAGCCCAACCACTATTTTGAAGAGAAAAGATATAAGTTTTTTTATTTTATTTTATTTTATTTTTTGGACTAGGAGGAGTTTTAAGTAGAGAATGGATTCTCTCCGGTCAAAATCTGAATCGAAGTCTAAGCCCCATGAAGCCCACTATGAGCTCTACTCTCTCCCTTTCCTCCTCTCTCTCTTTCCTTCCGTTGCTCTAAGCAAGCATCATTCCTTGTTTTTTTTGTCTGGTAGTAATTTCTTACTCTTTGAGCATGTTTGATTGGAAGGATTAGAGCATGGGATTGAGATTATTAATCCGTGAGCCCAATTATTTTATGTTTGTTTTAATATTTTAGTTTAGGATTATTAATCCAATGGATAATTAATCCAACAAATTTGTAGGATTATTAGTAATGGGATAGGGGTGAGATTATTAATCCAATGGATAATTTATCCTATTAATCTAATTGGATAGTGAATACCACACTAATTTAATAAGATTATTAATACTTCACTATTAATCTTGTGAATCAAAAATGACCTTTGACTTTTAAACTGCTATACCCTCTGGTATGTCGTGTCTTATTCACTTCTTTTCCCCTTTGGATGGCCACGCAGTCTTTCACCAACTCATTTGCCTTTTGAATTCAGTCAGAGCATGACATATCTCAATCTAATTTTCTTTTTCTTTTTCTTTTTCTTTTTCATTTTCTTTTATAGGGGCTGAAAAAGAAAATTCTACGTCACTATACAGAGTTTTTTTTTTTTTATCTGTAAAATAAAACTTTCTTGATGAAAAAAGTAATACATGTAAAAACTTATATCAACAAGGAAGAAAGTGCAAAAAGTATCAACGCTTGTTATTACTATACAGAGTTGATACAATTGTTATACTATTATTATTTTATCATAAATAAGAACTCCAGCCCCTCCCAAAAAAACTTATATGAAAATGTAATCAGCTTGCTTGGTTGTGTTTTTTCAAAAACACTTTTCATAAAATTCTACTTTCTTATTTTTCGTATTTTTTTGTTTTTAGTGAATTTTTTTAATATTTTAAGTAATTTTTTTTACTTTTTAGACATACCTAACATAAATATACCTAAAAAGTAAAAAAATTGTAAAAATTCACTAAATATCAAAAATACAAAAAAAAATACGAGAATTCAGTACATTTTTTATATTGTTATGTATTTATTAAAATTTTAAAATATTTTTTCACAAATTTTTTACTTTTTAGATACATCTAAGTAAGGTGCATCTAAAAAAATGTTTAAAATTTTAAAAATATTCACTAAAAATAAAAAAACATAAAAATAAAAAAACAGAATTTTCAAAAAACTTAATTCAAAAAACTCAAACCAAATGTTTTCTAAAATTTTAAGTGATATAGGTTATTATTACTATTGTTTTTTAACACATTTCAAAGTATGCAACTACTTCCAAGAACACAGTAGAATGAATATTTTTTTTTATTTTATGGTTTCTACTGTTGTATTGCTGACATAAACATGCTGCCATTCCTTCCCGGTGTTTGGGTTCCAAACTCACCAGATTAGACCCAACTCAAAAATATGGTAAAAAGCCTCTAGTTGGTGCGCGCGCGCAGAGAGAGAGAGAGAGATTGAAGTTGGGTTGGGGAGAGTCTCAAGAGATTTGATGCCATTGAGGGCATTGAAACTCATTTTGAAATCTTGATAATGTGACTACAGGCAAGGATGGATCTAGGGGGGGCCGAGGGCGGTGGCCGCACCCCCAAAAATTTAAAAAATATCATATATTATACTAAAAATTTTAAAATAATTTAAAATTATAGGAGTTCGCACTCCCAAATTTTTTTTAGATAATTTCAAAATTATATAGAGTAGCCCCCCAATTTTTTAAATTATTTGGAATTTTTTTTTTTTTTTAGTTGACATATATAATAATCTATTTTGAATGTCATGTATATCTTCATTTTAAATTTCATGTATATGTATTTTTTAAATTAGGTCAAGATGAAAGCAAAATTTTAGAAACTTTAATGGGTCAAAGTGTAAAATATGAAATTTTTACAAATATATAAACTATAAGGCTTGCTAGAGAAGCTTGTTCAAACACAGCACTAAGATTAAAAAAAGAAAAGAAAACAACTGATCTGAGTGACTTGTTGTGATTCGAAAGAGAGGAGAGGAGCGAAGAGATGAGGAAAGAAACGGAGAAGCTTTGTTGTTGGACTTCGTCAGAGCTGGTCGGCGTGGACGGTGAAACCGTAGACTCTCACTGGTAAGTTATCTGATATCCCTTCAGCTTCAATGTGATTATTCTGTTTTTAGACTGAATAATATGATTCATTGTGATTTTAGACTGAATAATGCGATTATTTTGCCATTAATTTGTTATTGGTTGTTATTGGTCACCCATAAGCTTGCAGACAGCTAGAAATCTTCAACCCAAGTTTTAGTTTTGGTATCCCAAACTTGACAACCCAAATCCCCAACTTCCTACGTCACATAACCCACAATTACACCCTCACTGTCAATAGATTTCGCTTCTCTCTCCCAACACTCTTTTATTTTACTATGCCAATCAAAAAAATAAATACACATACACTACAGATCAGAACCCTCCACCTCTAACATTATCTGGGTTAGCAATTGATTTTGAATTTTTTTAAAAATAAATAATAATTTAATGACAATGTGGGGCCAATGCAAGCTGGTTGTTTTTTTGGGTGAAATTATGGCAGAGAGGCTGACATAAGGTGGAGAAGGCAGGAGTTGCGATGAATATCTGATAATTGTTATTGGTACAATTGTTAACTAAATATTGTGATTTTTTTTTAATAATATGATTTATTGTAATTGGTAGGTACTGTGTTGTGTGATTTCTTGATGATTGAATAGGCTTTTAGGTTATGATTTGTTAATTTCCTCTAAGAATTTGGATAAAAATCTAAATGTTATTTTGTGCTGCCATATATTTTATGACTTTTAGGAATAGGATGAAAGATGGTTTTCTGGGTAGTTACTTGATTATGTACATTGAAAAAGACATTGCTCGAGGGTTTGATGTAGACTCTATCATTCATGCTTTTGATATTATGAAAGAACGTCGAGCTCAATTGAAGATGCTTAACTTTAGTAAATAAATGCATGTCGAAATAGTTACTACTTTTTGTAAGTGAATATGGGCAAAAAAATATTCTCAATTGTATGATCATCTTTTGGTACTAGACTATGTTGACAAGGAATATATAGTTCAATATTTTATCGTAACATCACTGATTTTTTTTTCATGTTAGAAGAAATTGGTATTGAACTTCAAATTTTATTGGTTAGAGGTTAAACGTACTTTAGCCCCCCCAAAGTCATAATCCTGGATCCGTCCCTGACTACAGGTCTGAGGTCACACAGGCATGGATTGTGGAGGATATGTAAACATGGAGGCCACCATGTTCCCTCTGCTCCACACCCTCTGTCCTCTCTCCCCAAAAGCTGCACATTTGTGTTTAGTTGCAGATTCATATCTTCAGATTTTCATGTTTAGTATTGTTAAATGAATCATATTACATAAGTTTATTAAGAAGTTCTTAAATTTTTAAATAAATTTGAACTAGTTATTACTCGATTTATTAAACTTATATGAATTATAAAAATCAAATTATTCAAGCATGATTTATTATTAGCTCAATTAAAACTCTTTTAAGAAAGTATAAGAATCCACAATGAGGAATTGTCAATTTATAATGTTTCAGGCTTTAATTATGAACACACACTACTACTAGAAATGTAATAAAAGCAATAACTTAAATTATCCCAAACATAGAAATGTCTAGTTGTCAAACCTAATCTTATCGAATGATAACCAATGAAATACAATCGTGATGACAACTTGATTAAGGTTTGCATGAACTATGAATGGTATTAATCATAACAATTTTTACTCTAATAAAATAAACAATTGGAGAAATTATACCAACGGTCCTTATAGTTTTGAGTTTATGTTACTTTGATCTATGACTTTTCAATTGTGATACATTTTATCTTGAATTTTGAATTTCATTCTAAATAATGATAATTGAAAACATTGTTATTCTATTTTAAGAATAAAATCATCAATTTGATAAAATATAAATTAGTTTGACAAAAATAAATATTAAAAAATTATTTCTACTTACCAAAGATAAAATTATATAAAATGATAAATCTTTTATATTTTTATTTATTTTTATTTTTTTACCAAATTTATTTTTAGCATGTGTTTGGATCATGATCATGTAATGGGTGATTGTTTTTATTAATATTTTTGGATGGTTATCATGTAATAGATGGTTGTATTTATTTTTAACAGATATTTTTTTATGGTTATCATGTAATATATGGTTATAAGGTTTTTAATATAAAATTGATATGTTTAATATATGAAATGTTTTTAGCTTTAGATTTTTTTATTTAATGGATTGGCTTAATAATGACATTAAAATTGTCACCACATTTGACTTTTCAAAAAATAAAAACTAATTTAATGAAAATAAATAAATATATATATATATATAATTTAAAAAAATTATTTCTACACTCCCAAAAGATAAAATTATATTAAAATGATGCATTTTTAATTTTTTTCACTAATTTAATTTTTAGTTTCTTAGAAAAAAATTCTGAAAAAAGATTCTGAAACGAAATAAAATAGAACTTTATAACAAAAAAAGTTTCAACATTATTCATTAAAAAAAGTCATTCAACGTGTTTGATTTCAGTTTTCTGAAAATTGAGTTTTTTACTTTTCGTGTTTTTTGTTTTTAGTGAATATTTTTTAAATTTTAAGCAATTTTTTTACTTTTTTCTATGTACCTTATTTAGATGTATCTAAATAATAAATTATTTGTAAAAAAATATTTTAAAAAATTAATAAATACACAAAAATACGAAAAATGTAATTCTGAAACGAAATAAAATAGAACTTTATAACAAAAAAAAGTTTCAACATTATTCATTAAAAAAAAAGTCATTCAATGTGTTTGATTTCAGTTTTCTGAAAAATGAGTTTTTTACTTTTCGTGTTTTTTATTTTTAGTGAATATTTTTTAAATTTTAAGCAATTTTTTTACTTTTTTCTATGTACCTTATTTAGATGTATCTAAATAATAAATTATTTGTAAAAAAATATTTTAAAAAATTAATAAATACACAAAAATACAAAAAATGTACTGAAATTTAATATATATATATATTTTTATATTTTTAGTATTTAATGAATAGTTTAAAGATTTTTTCACGAATATTATACCTTCTAAGAGCATCTCCAACGATAGTAGGCATTTTACCTATCTAAATATTACTATAAAGTATATATTTTATTTTGCCTATCAACTGTTTTATGTTTTTACTTTAACCATGCTCTTTATTTTAGCTATTTATCCAAATACTATTAATTTTATAGAATGCCACGTCAACAACAAAGATAGAGAGAAATGATCCTAATGATTGAATACATTTTGCCTAGCGTTGAAAGCTAACTACATTTAGCTAGTGAATATGAGTTGAGTCAAAATGCCTAATGATATGCCTAGTGCATTGGAATTGAAAAAAGTGAATCACACTAGGCATTTTAACTAACAAGTATTATATACCTAGTGCATTGGAGATGCTCTAAATGTATTCATGTTAGGTGTGCTTAAAAATCTTACAAAAATTACTTAAACTATTAAAAGAATTAGGTGAAAACCAAAATATATGAAAAACGAAAAATTAAAATTTTCTGAAAAGTGAATTCTTAAAATTGAAAACAAACAGAGTGATTATATTTCAAACAACATAAAAATTAACCAACACAAAATAAGTTATATAACGACTTTGCTTTTCAAATGGAATAACGTCTTCAATTGTATTTATTTGAAACGCAATTTAAAATTTAAGATTAAATGTATAACAATTAAAATGTTAAGATTAAGTAATACAAGCCCCAAATTATAAGAACTGTTAGTGTAATTCACCTCCAAACAATTCAATAATAAATTCGATGATGCACTTTTTCATGCAGTAAGTATGATTAGTGGAGTATAAACATGCCTTTTATTTTACTAAACCCTTTAATCTGTATAGTCACAGAGTGGTTACGCAATGGTCAAATTTGTTATCTAAAGTAAATTTGTTGGTAGAGAATGAAAAAGGGGAAAAAGATAAAGAAGTGTTTGGCAGACGTCATCGTAAGATCAGCAATGATAGTGAATTTGGTATAATGAAATTGAGATAGATAAATTTGAAATAATTTTGGTGAATATAATTATTCGAAATCCTTCATAATGATTTTTGTTTTTGAATTCTCAATTCAATCATCTACTTTAATTAATTATAAAACTACCTCCAATAAGTAACCTTCTATAAATAACATCAAATTGCTTCATTTCAAATATCCAAATGGAGCTTTAAGTCAAGCAACCGAAAAGGTCCAACTCATACAAAAGAAATTCTTGTGTTCTCTCTTTCTTCTTAAGTTCACACTATCCAAAATGAATCCAAACTTACTATATAAAAAAAATGAAACCTACCCACAGAAGCCTTGTTGTCTCGCACAAATGATAACTACATTAAATAACAACAAAAACATTAAACTAAAAGAGAGAGAGAATGGCTTGCCTGTGTGGCTCAACCTCATGCTGCTGTAATTGCTTTCTCACAATAACTCGATGGTAATCAACACCCATGCCTTGCAGCAATCTTGTTCAAAAAACACGAGACATCAGACTTCATCTGCAAGACAAATAAATACTTGAGGCTAATCATGCATGGAGTGAACCTGAACTGATGGCCCGAGCACGGTTCTCTCTTGCCCTGCTAAGGAATATTTTAAGGACAAAACATCTTTGCCAAACAAATTACAACATTTCACATTCTTAAGATTTCCCAATCCATCATCCCTTTATACTTTTGCTGTGGCAGTAGACAGGCATTGCCCCAATGTGTTCCACAATATATAATCCCCAGAAGTAACCTGTTGCAAGAAACAAAAAGTAAAGATTGCATTCAAATATATATGCTTTTACACTGTACGCAACACTGCAATTTAATTTTCTACAACCAATAGGAGGCTCAGAAACATTAATATTACTTCATGGAAACCAGCTATTTTGTGCACGTGGCACATAATCGCTGAACTAAATTTATGACAGTATGCAACATTACGCCAAGTTTCCTAATTTGTCCTACATTTATTTAACTTTTACATTCAATTTTCAGAAAGTCTGTTTCCATGTCAATTCGTACATTCATTATGCATACCATTTTAAAGATCATTTTCAAGCTTATGCATACGTAACTATATATTAGAACCCAAGAACATTCACAACCCTCTATAAGCTGTCATGTCAAATCTTTTCAACATTCAAACAAACCGCTAAATCATTGTCTGAAAAAAACTACAGTTTTGTAGGTCATCTTCAAAAGTGAGTTTTTATACATCAATAAAAGGTTACCTGAGTTGAGGACTCCACAGGTGCTTTAACAGCTGGAAAAATGCTCACCTGCATACAGCACAAACTTAAAAAAGTTTGTAAGCCTAATATAAATTAAGCAGTTCCAATATGAAATGAAAACAAACAGCCAACTGAAGCTGCTGAGATTTGACACAGGGAACCAACCAACCCACAAATACGAGCAGATGTTGAGTCCTAACTTTTTTATAGGAAAAGTAAATGATTCTGTATTAGATGTGATCACAAAATTAAGATGAAGAGCTGTCCAGTTCAATTAGAGCTACGGAAATGTTAATGGGAATTCATCTCGAGAATGCAAAAGGCCACATTTGCAGCTTATGTTACGGAAAACTGTCTCTGCTAAAGAACCAACATGTGCCATCAAAGAGATTCATATAATAGCAGCAAAAGAGCTTGATAACAGAGACAGTAACTATTAGTTTGAAATCTAGAAAAAATATTTATTGCGCAGATAAATGACTGCCATACAAGTATGGACTTACAGATTTAGGATCAATGGACATTCCAGATAAGGATGCCCCCACAATCTTGAAAGATACCTGCATTAATGAATCAAAATATGAGCACTTTGTCAAAAAGCTAATTCTTCAATATAACAGGCTCAACTGCAGTACCATGACTAGTTTTAACAACCATGTACTGGTTCAATATCATCTACTCTCATTGGTTAGTAAAATCCAAATCAAGTCAGTTTAAATTTTAATCATTTGATGGCAATTAAAGCCAAATTCATTGGTTTCTATTTGTAAGTTAAATCTTCTCTGAAAAATCTTTTCTTCCTTTCTGTTCCTTTCTATAAAGTTGCTTTATTAAAAGTTGGGATTCGTGGTCATTAGAGGGGGAGAAAAGGTACCAACACATTATCTCTTCCATGGCAATAAAGTTATAGATGTCTGTTAGTATCTTGCTGACTAATGGAGGAGGAACGAAAAAGTGTCAACAAGATGGACCATATATTAGCCCTTCCCTTTTTGTTGCAGCCATCATGTGGAATCTAAAGCCTACTTCAAGCATCCATAGTTCACATTAACACTAAAGAAACAATAGCAAAGCACATCCAGTCCAGATAACAAATAACACCAGGATATAAGCAAGAAGCAAAATCAGTAAATGCCGAAGATTTCCAGAATTTATAGCAACTCTAACTAAAAGTTGAACTGATAGAGAGTAGACATACTTTAGCATAATTGTAAGCCTGCCAGCAAAATGGCTCCTCAAGGTCAACTGGTGGGAGGTCCTTGTTCATTTTTTCCATTAAAAAGTCCTCCACATTTACCACATTATTAGTGGCCTCTGTTTCTATATCACTATCCTCATCAACTATGCTTCCCAAGACTGACCCAGAGGAAATCAATCTTTGAGTTTGCCATGGTGCAAACCTAACTGTTCCAGGAAAAGTTGCCTCAATGCTCTTCCCAGTAATACCTCTTCCACTTGTTATAATCTTCCACTCAACTGAATGCTCAGTGGTTGAAACGGTTCCAATAGAAGGTGTCCCATCAAACGAAACCAACCTTCTCCTAGGAAATGGCATAGTCACAGTGCAGAACTCCATTGTAAGAGGAGATTTATAACGTTCCATCAGGTGCAACTTAAATAGAAATGCACCTTCATTTTCTGAGACCATTGACAGCTGGTAGAATCCTTTTATTGGAGGCCCAATGCCACAAAGTGCTTGATAACGCATTAAAACAAAATTACCCAATGGTGGTGAAAACATCAGGGCCTGCTTATCTACTCCATGTTCCGGTACTTGGGCACAAGGATGAAATGATAAAACCTCAATACGAGCATTGTCCAACCCAATCATGGGGAAAGAAACATCAGGCAATCCTTCTAATTCTGCTCGACAATTCACTTGCCCAGAAATAGATATAGTATCTGGGATCTCGTCCCGGTCATACATTGCAGCATGAACAGCCTCGTGAATTGTAAAAATAATCCTCTGCTTTCCCTTATAGAGATATGGTTTCCACGCAGGCTGTTTTCTGTCTGCTGGGGGCAAATCTGATGAAGCAAAGCCATAAAGCTTAATAGCAGAAATATTGGAATAGTTGAGATCCAAGGGTGTACCTATATGTAAAATAGACAAGAATAAGAGGTGGTTATTAGATAAATATAAGCTGATCAACATAAGAAAATATATAGGAAATTTGAGATGAGAAATACCATAATAAAAAGTACTGACCAAATGGCATTGAGCTACTAATAAAAGTTCGAAGTGCATCTTTGTCCAGGGGCCTTGAACCAATCTTTGGAGCATCTGATGCAATGGCTCCAGTCACAGCAGTGTTTGAGGTGGTAGAAGGTGCAACTGGTGCAGCTACAGGTTTTGCTCTTGCAGAAATACCTGAAATCCCAATACTGCCAGTTAGGGAATCCAACAACCCCCCTACGGATGGAGAAGCACTAACAACCACCTCAGGTTCTGGAACATCCCCTGTAACTACATCCCCTATGGCATGTGCCACCATTAAGGCCCTACACATGGGAAAAGATATATGTCAGGAAAGATCAAACAAGACATATTGATTGTGTAAGCAATATTAGAGCAACAGTGCCACAGACCATGCAAAAGAGAAATAGAAGAAAAACCAGAAAAAATAAATAAAAAGTAACAACAAAATAAAAAATGACCAGACTGTTCTTCAATCAATCAGAATGTATATCTGAAAACTAGAGAAAAATAAATAATGACATAAACCATAGACAATTAATCATAGTTAATGAAAGAAACAGTGAACCACCCATACAGAATGAAACAATTTTTTTTAACTGGAGTTTCAGAATTAGTTAAAGGAGGGCAACTCAAACAAGTGGCACCATACACTAACCAGTTCCATTTTGTCAGGTGTGCAAAACCAAAGTCATTGACAACCAATTTTTGACGACCAACAAACACAACGAAATAAGAGCCCTGGGATGCTATAGTTGTCACAGTTTCATTTGCAAAATTTTGAACCCAAGTGAAAACAACACTTTTAAACCAGCTAGGTTCAGTAGTAAATCAAGATAGACAGAATACTTCACATATCTTTATTCAAATATTTGTTGATCCAAATGAAGATTTGGAAGACTTAGGTGGCATAACTCAAGAAAAAAGTAGCCAACCAGAGAGAGAGAAAGAGAGTCTGAAGATGCCAGAGACTGATTGCCACATCTGACCAAATATAAGAAACAAAACCAGACAACCACTATTTCAGGTATGCAGAAACACGTGAAAAGATTCCATGGAAGAGGGTATGGGAGAAGATTTTATGTGCTTATGTTGCTTTAGTATTGTTTTGTTCAAAAGCAGTAGGAGCATCCTAGATCCCTATTCCATGGAATCTCAAATTCCAGTCAGAACCAAGTAGAGGACAGACAAAACCGTAGGAGCATTGTTTTGTTCTTGTTAGTTCTGCTTCATGAATAATATTGCATGTAACTTACCATACCCTGTGATGGATGGAAGATCAAGAAGAAGGGAAGACACACTTCCATCCACTCCAACAGCATTTCCACAATCAGATCTTTTACATATTCTCGCATATGCTTTTAGATGACAGGGTTCAACTAAAGGCAATACAAGGATGCAATACTGACTTTTTATGTGCAAAATTAATGGCCATAAGAGATGAATCTCTCCTTCTTCTTCTTTGTTAATATATAGGCTTATAATATGGCGTGTAATTGGATCATCAACCCACGAATCAGACCCTTCAGCTGACTGAGCTACACGTATGCCAAACCCACGAGCAGACCCTTCCCTACGCAAACACTGCAAAATTAGTAAGTATAATCATCAGAAGAATTCTATCAAGATGAATTATAATGAACTAAGAAAATAAAGGACACCAAATGAAAATAATGAAAACATACAGTGACTTGTAACCAACCAATACAAAAGGCATTGACTATAACATCATGATTAGATCATATAGTCTTGTGAACAATAAGCAAACATAATACATGTTATCATCAATAGCAGTTATGTTAAATGTAATGCAGCTTTTGAAAGGATGAACCCAACTTAATCCTACGACACACACACACACACACAGAGATGTATCAGTTATTTGAATAGTCAAGTTTGAGCACAAAGAGGTTACAAATTGAATAGTAGGGACTCAACCTGTCATCTTATAGTAAAATAGGTTACAAATTGTGGCCTGGAGGTTAACAAAAAACAAGATTGTAATTACTAACAGAAGTATGTAATTGATTGCTAATTTGTGTCATGACTCATGCATAACGAACGACAAAAACAACTCTAGCATTATGGTACACAAAACAACTAACAAGAATAGGAACACGGTATACCACTTGCCCTAGTATAAGGTACACCTCCCTATTACACGACCTAAAAAAAAGGCTTTCAATTGAGGCAGGCTTATATAGATTACAACATTGGAATTCTTAAGTACTTCTAAATGTAAGAATTACATTTTATAGACAGTTAGACATTTAATAAAACAAAATTTATTAAAATCTACTTACTTTTAGGTTTTCTTATTCTTCAAATTAATCAACTAACATCACTATCCTAAAAGCATTATGGTCCCCATTTAGATCTTCTCTTGCCAACACTCCAATCTTTCTAGATTTTACATCATCATATTTGAATTTTTTCCTCATAAAAAACAAGTAAGAAATTTTTGGATCACTTTGCTAAATAAATCATGTTTCTGAATGTGATCCAAAATGTATATTGGTAGAGAAAGCCTCGTTTGGGAACAAGTTTTTTTAGTAACTTTTTGGCTTTTTAGCTAAAATATAATGTAAAAAAAAATTAGTATGTTTGGAATGACTTTTTGATTTTTTACGAAAAGATGTGCAAAAAATAGAGAGAAAATGGAATATTTCACTTTTTGGTATAGGTTGTTGTGCCTATTTGGCACAGCTTATAAGCAGCTTATTTGAGCTTTTAACTTATATTAAGCTATTTTAGAGTGTTTGGCACAACTTATCAGTACAACTTATAATTTAAGTGAAGCTATTTTCAGCTTATTTTCCAAAGCAGCTCGGGGGGTGCTTAACCAAATTCGACTTATGCGGGCAGCTTGTAAGGGGAGCTGAAATGACTTAAATGCCCCTCCAAGATTGAGGAAATTACGAAACTGGCATGATATATACCCTCTTTCCCGTTGCCCTAATCTCCTCTCCTCTCACACTACTCTCCTCTCTGCTTCTCCTCTCCTCTGGCAACCGGCGACGAACTCCTCCACATCTCCAAGATCGAAGCCGATCGTGCAGTTTGGCCCCTTGTTTTCCATTGATCTACACAAAAAAGGTAAGATTTCATGCCCTTTGTATGTTATATATAGATATATATATATACACATCGATTTAGGGGTTTTTTTTTTTTGTTACTCTGTGAAATGGTGTGCGAGTTGTTACCTCGCTCTCTCTCCCTCTCTCTCTCTCTCTCTCTCTCTCGCTCTCTCTCTGTTCTTTCCCTTCTCTCTCTGATTACTGTGAAATGGTTTGATACCCTCTTCTTAGTCATTTTTTTTTTCTTTTTTTTCTTTTCAATTTGGCCGCTTTTTTTATTTATTTTTTATTTTTTGTTTTAGTTAAAGATTTCATTTAGCAAAAAAAAACATCAATTGAAATTGATTTCCTATTTTTCCCCATTTATGCGTATTGATCACAGACATGTCTGCTGGGAATAAATAGATGAAACTTGTGTTTGGTAAACAAAAACACTAGTTTAGTCGGTTTTATTTACTTTTCTCTGAGGTAGATTCGTCCTTTTCCCTTCTGCAGGTTGTATTCCTATTCCTTTTCCCTTTCCGGTTTGTCTTCTTGAAACCTGTCTTTGGAATGTGCTATGTTAATGAGAAAGAGTAAACCCATGCTATTAGTAGAGCTTTGCTAAAGATGTTTGCTTCATTAATATCTTTCATGAGCTGGTTGTCCAGGAAAGGAAAGCACTTGAATTGTTGTCATTGGCTATTCTTTCAGTTACTGCTATGCTTTCTTCTAGTTTTATGAACAACCTTAGGGGCTGTATTATTGTGTTCTCAAGTGATATGCTCAGAATCTTTAAAAAATGATTTATTTCTTCTAAATTGAGAAAGATATTTAATTTCTTCTTCAAATCTAAAAATTTAATTTTTTTGCTTATGTTAAATTGCATTACTGCTTATGATCCAAAGATACAAGTTCATAGGTCTGTGTATTAGATGTGGTTGACAGAGAAAGTTATGAGCCATAATGGATTAAGTACCAAGACAACATGTGATAATTTGTAGCTTTATTTGTATTGACTTACAATTCTTTGTGTATATTGGCTGATAATCCAAATGAGGAAATTCTAAGTTTTTGTTATTTGAAGAATTGTAAGTTTTTGTTATTTGATGAGGAAATTCTAAGTCAGTAGATATCCCAAATGGTTAAGCTGGGTTGAATAACAATTTTATGTTACCACCAACACTGGCTAATGTCCTTTGTGTGATTACTCAATAATCATTCTATTATAATCATGTGCTTGTGCCTTGTCTTTTCTATACATTATTGTCAAACAATGGTCTGAGTTTGAAGTCCATCTTGGATGTTCCACAGCCATACTAAAAGAGCTGTCTAATTAGTCTAATTAATCTAATTAATCAATTTTGTTTAATTTATGTTTGGTTGGCGAGAATTTGAAGGAAATCTTGACAATTTTGCACTGCAATTGTCTTAATTTTTTTAGTAACTAAATGGGTAGTTCAATGTTTTGTTGTTGATTGTTCTGATTCTAAGTTAATTACCAGAAATTTTGGGTTCGTTTGGTTTGTATTTCTGAAAAATTTTTGAGAAATTTTCTCTACAAATAAGTTTTTAAAAGTAATCAAACCAAACAAATTTTTCCAAAAAAATTTCTCAAAACTTGTAAACCAAACAAGTTTTCCAAACAAATCTCTCTCTCATACACATCAAATCAATCACTTTTTCCAAAACTCTCTCTCAAAATAATTTTCCAAAACATCTTTTGAAAAAAACCAAACCAAACAACTTTTCGTACTTTTTATCTCTAAAACACATCTCTCAAACACAAACCAAACATACCCTTTGCTTCTTTAATTTTATTTCTCTGAGTGAAGTTGGGGTTCTTTGTTTTTGTTTGACTGTCTTTGCAATTAAACTGGTTGTTATCAGGCCAACATCACAATCATATACTACATGCCGCATTTACATCAATGTCCAAAATTTTGTTATCTGGTTTTGATTTTGACAATCATATGAGTTGAATGTTGCTTCAAACAACTTTGTAATTACCATCTTTTCTTCATATGCAGGAGGAAGATGTTGAAATTATCGTTCATCACATACTTGGTGTAATTGACTCATTCAAAACAAGAACATTTCAAGGCCTTGGTTTCTCAAGCTGCAACAACTTTCTTAATTGGAAGAACCAATCGGTTTGTAAATGAGGTTGAACTGTTCCTAGCTTCGGGTTTGAATATTGAAGCCTATGACAAAGTTTACATGCAGCATTTGGGTTGGAAAGTTTCTGGGATTATCACTGAGGAAGGAGAAGTTAGTGGAAATGCACCTTTATTTCCATACCTATTTTTATTTGACGAGGACTCTGATGGAATTGAATGATCATTTATGCAAATGTAGATTAATACTTGCTTTTGTTTCATTTGTTTTGTAATCTTCATTTGGTACTCTTTTGGGAAGATGACTCTGGCCCTATTTCGAGCAGATTATTGGACAGAATTAAGGATAAACTGTGTAATGTTTGTTGGGTTGTGTTTGTCTTTTGTTTTTTATTTTTATTTTTATTTTTTAGAGCACTACTTTGTTTGGCAAGTTGTTCTTCAAAATAGTTTTTAATTTTTTTGAAAAATAACTCAGTGCTTATGGAATACTTAAGAAGTTATCTTTTAAAAATTATTTTCTTCTTTTAGTATTTTTATTTAGAAAATATGAAAAATAAAGAAATAAAGAAAATAGAACCACAACAGATAAACGTTTCAAGCACATGTATTTAAGTTGTATTTTAATTACGAATTTGAATAAAAATTTAAAAAAGAGAAGAAAAAAAATGTGAACGAAATATATATATTTATTTATTATTTTTTAATTTTTTTATCCAATGTATGCAAACATGTTGGACTCTTCAACCCCAAAATGCTGGCTTAGTGGTGAAAACTCGAGGTGTGTTTCCTCTATTATTTTAGGTTTAAAATTTTATCAATATAAATAATTTTTTAAAATTGATCCATACACGGGCCGTATTAATAATAGGTGAGATTAACACATACTCATTCATCATATGATAGATTCACGGATTATGTGCCTAATGAAGAGGAAGGTTCTTCGTCTCAACAAGCACGCCATAAAAATTATGTTGTAGATGATGACAACGAGATAGAAGTGAGGAGACATAATATTTGTATGTCAATTTTCAAACGAAATTAGGAGTTCTTTAAATATCTAAGAAGTTTTATTTTTATTGCCTTAATAGTAATTTATTGTATTTTTATTGCAATAACATTTTCTTGTTCCCTTGTGAACTTAATATTAAAAATGAAATTTTTTTTTTGAAGTAATAGAAAAATGTACCAAATTAGGTACTAATTATATTAACTTCCATTAATAAAATAATTTTTTCAAAATTTAAAGTGCAAAAAATGACAAAATTACAATTTTTATGTTCATAAGGGCAAAAATGACAATTACACAACAAAAAACTAATTTACAGCTTATTTACCAAACACTATTCTGTTGTTTAAATCCATAATCCCACAGTTACATCAAACAGGTCACCAGCTTATGTTCACCGCTGTAAGCTATAATCTGTCATCAAACAGGTTACCAGCGTATGTTTACAACTGTAAGCTATAATCTGTTGAGCTATAATCTGTAATCACTTTCTCACTCTATTGTTGGCTTTTTGACTTTTTGGTTGACCTCTTGATTTTTAAACTAAAAAGTGAAGTTGCCAAACAAGCCTAAGAGTTTATTAACCATAAAAGGCTCTTGAGTTCTTCAGAACAAAAAAATTGAAGTTCCCACATTAACTCCCAAAGGAATAAATTATTTTTAAGAATACAAGATTCAATATTTTACACTCAGATGCAAGAACACTCACAGATGCAAGAACAATCAGCTCCAAAACTAATCAGAATAAAGAAATTACTTCGTAATAATCTGAGTAAACAACATATTTTTATTTATTTATTTATTTTTCTTCTTTTTTTCCAGCTGAATTCCCAGCATCAGCACCTCATAATGCTCACAATTCAAGCACAATCAAGTGATAACGAGACAGATCCATATATATCCAAAATATCTAATTGTAGTACAAACATAATTCCGTACTAAAAAAAATAAAAATAAAAAAGGGGGCAAATCAGCATAATCTTATTCTCAGAAATGACCTCTTTTTGCGGTCCACGAAAGCAACAGCAAGCTCCGAATCAGTAGGAAGCAATGGCAGCACAGCGTACTTCAAACTATCAGCACTTTTCTCGTTCTCGGTCTTGCAAGCAGCGCGCCACCGCTTCTCCGCCCCCGGAAACCTCCTGTTACAGAAACACATCAAAAATCAAATTCAATCTAAACAAAGATCCAGATTAATGAAAACCCTAGGATTTCATCAGAATATATATATATATATGTATACATGTGTGTGTGTGTGTGTGTGTGTGTGTGAAGGAGTGGAACCTGGAGAAGACAACAGAGTCGAGATTGTTCAGGATCCAGAGAGCTCTGATGCTACAACCACCGGCCATGTCCTTCCTGCAACTCTCTCTCTCTCTCTCTTTCTCTCTCTCTCTAATTAGTAATTAGGAGTTATTTTTGTGTTTTATATATGGAAACTAGGATTGCTTAGGTTTATCATGAAATATAAAGACCGCAAGGGGGGTCGAGATCTTTGGCCTTTGGTTCGTGCTTCTCAAAAATTTTTGAGAAATTTTTTTTATAAATGAGTTTTTAAAAGTAATTAAATTAAATAAATTTTTTTTAAAAAAAAAATTAAAACTTATTTGGTTTATAAATTTTTCAAATAAATCTCTCTTTCATCCACATCAAATCAATCACTTTTTTCAAAATTCTCTCTCAAAATATTTTTTCAAAACATCTTTTGAAAAAAAACCAAACCAAACAAATTTTCGTATTTTTTATCTCAAAACATGTTTCTCAAATACATATCAAACAAGGCCTTTATTTTTCTAATCGTTAAATGATTTTGTCATTAACAAAAATAAATTTATAATTGGTTGAGTCTCATTATTTTTGTTAAAAAGTTTAAAGTATACAAAATATTATTAGCATATTTTACAGTTTTCTTGGATTATTCATCAAATGCAAAATTTATAAACATAATTATTTATGTGAATTTGAAATTCATCCAATAATATGTAGTTATATATTGTTAAATTTTACCAATTTTAATCTCGTTAATTTACAATATCAATATTATATACAAGTAAAACAAATTACATTCTAAAAATTATTTGGATATGAGTTTTTTTAAAATAGGAGAATTGGATATGATGAGTTACCATTTATCATAAATATAAATATTTTTTTTAACATATTTACATTTGTTGTATTTTATGAGATACTTATAATTTTATCAACCTCGTTAGGTAGCTTGAAAAATTAGAGGTTTGAGTGGTTCAAATTCCCAAAACAATGTGGTTTTGGCTTCTTTTTTTTTTTTTTTTTTTTTTTTCTTCTTCTTTTTTATTTTCATAACTCGCAAAAAAAGAAGAAAGAATAAGAAAAAGGAAGAGAAGAGGAGAGGAGAGAAAAGATATGGAACAGAGAGAGCAACAACATCCGGTAAAGCAGAAAAACAATACAAATAAAAAATCTCTTATTTGAGCAACAACATTAGAGAGAGCAACATCTCATGTTTTTCTAGAACAGAGATATTCAAATCCAAAAATCAAAAATCAAAACCAAAAATCAAACCAACAAATCAAAACCAATCAAAGAGTGAGATACACAGAAGAGAGAGAGAGATACACAGAGCTATGGACGATGGCGCCGCTAGTGATGGAAACTCCGGTGGATCTCTCTATTCCCCCTCCCTCTTCTCTTTTTCTTCTATCTTCTTATTCCCTCCCTCTATTTTACAGATAAAAGAGAAAAAAAAAAAAATCCAAACGTCATTTTGAATTCAAACCACTCGAGCCTCAAAAATTTTAAACTTTGAAGCATTTTTCTAATTTTATTTTATAAAAAAATAAAACTAGTTATTGAGCAGTTGAAAAAAAAAAAGAAAAAAAAGAGAGAGTACCGCTTTTTCTTTTTTTAATGAAAAGAGTTTAATTTGTGTATATTTTGACCCCGTTTGATAGAACTGTGGAAAAGTGATTATAACTTATAGCCTAACATCTAATAACTTATAGCTGTGAACATAAGCTGATTTTTGACTTATAAATTAAATTTCTCCTTTCCCACTCAAAGAATAAGTTGATTTTTGACTTACAAAAAGTTATAAACTGTATTGTTAAGTTAAACCAAACACATCAAAATAGCTTAAATTAAGTTAAAAGTTAAAATAAGTTGAAAATAAATCTTACCAAACAAGGCCATTATCTGCTTCTAACATACTACACCAAACGAGCAAACTTCAAGCACAGTAAATCCTGAAAAAACTCAATCTGATGCAACATAAAGAGTCGGACCAAAAAAACCTCAAGTCATCAAAAACCCTCTTCTTTTCTTTTTTTTTTTGTGGTAAACTCATCAAAACCCTTTACTAGTGCCAACTTCGAATCACGAAACAGCAAATTATTACAAGAACCAAACCACAGCACTTTCAAGAACAAAATGTGTATGGCATAACATATCATAAAATCATCCAAACAAAAAAAAGCTGCAAGATTATTTATTGTTACCAGTAAAGCCTCGGCTTCATTCATGCAAACCGACAAAACTACTTCCTACATCAACACCCTTATTACAAAATTGTACACAAAGAGAGCTGATACATTCAGAGAATGGGATTCAACAAAAACCAACATGCTTGCTTATCCCCCACAAAAGTGCTAGATTGAGCTCCGAATTGGATCCCGCTAAGTCGAGGACTCGTGAGGGAAACCTTTTTTGAAGTGATGTGCGGTCTAAAGGTCAACACAAAGGTAGGAGATGACGGAGCCAGCTCTCCGTTTAGTCCTCTGGCTTACCTTCCACTTCTCAACAAGGACCTTCTTTATGCCCACGCAGCTAGAAATCACGGTGGCAACACCAGCAGCAGAAATACCAGGGCAATAAACCATGTGGCAGGTCTCTAGTAAGGTGCACTTCTTCACAAGATGGGATAGACCCACATCTGTTATCTGACGGCAGTGTGATAGGACTATGTCCTTGAGTAAGGGACAGCTTTCACCTAACTCAGCCATTGCCATATCCCCTAGATTCTGTAACAATAAAAATAAAAATAAAGAAAAAAATGGAAAATGAAGTTCTTTTAGTATAATCAAGGATTTAGAAATCATAAGAGCAATGGAAAAAACCAACCAATCATCTAGGACAAAGAGCAATGTTAAAAACCAATCATCTAGAACAAGTGAAACTATGGACATTGCTCCTCGTATGTGGAAGACGGATAGTAGACATACCTGAAGAACGCTTTGTTAGAATTTACCATCACCTACCACCACTACCACCTCACCTACTCCACTAAACCTAACCCACTACACCACTACCACCTCACCTACTCCACTAAACCTAACCCACTACACCACTATCACCATCCACTACACACCATCCACTACACCTACATCTATATAAGGAACCATTTGTAATATACTACATCAATACATCACCTACCACCACTACCACCTCACCTACTCCACTAAACCTAACCCACTACACCACTATCACCATCCACTACACACCATCCACTACACCTACATCTATATAAGGAACCATTTGTAATATACTACATCTATACATCAATCAATAATACATACATTTTAACACGCTTACATCCAGGTAAATGAGTTCAGGACAGCCTCTAGCAATTGCTATTATTCCCGCATCCCCTATTTGGTGGCAGCCACTAACATTTAAATGTTCTATGGGACAACCTTGACCAATAGCTATTAGTGCCTCATCCCCTACCCTGTGATTAAATAGCATGTGAAGTCACACGGGAGTCCAATAATGCAACAACCAAGAAAGCACTATAGTGACAGCTTACAAGACAGCACCTCAAGATAACCTATTACATATCCTCAGTCTCAAACATTAACCCCCCAAAAATGAAATCACTGAACAAACAAGTGTATATTATTTCTAGGAACCCTGGACTCCACAAAAAGAACACAAATAAGAATTTTAAAATTCTCACCAACAAGGAAGATAAGTTCTTACCGATCACAAAACCGAAGGCTAAGATCTGTAAGGAATTTACAATTCTCACCAACAGCTATGATTCCCTTATTCCCAACCTATTAATGACACAACAAAGTAAACTCTAAATTAATAACTGAAGCATGATGTCTTTACAGGAAGAAGCGCAAGTCATTCAAATTGCAGATTTTAACTAACAGAAAAATTAAGTTCTAGGTCATTTAACAGCAGTTTCCAAAGATATGCTACTTCCCTCTAGAAAGCCAAAGACTTGCTAAAATATTCTTAGTTCACAAGTGAAACATGGTAGCTATTGTATCACAAAAAATAAACGACTGGCAGATGGGGAAGGAATAGTTCTGAACATCTAAGAACAATATTCGCAGGAGTTATATACAACCACAGATGTGCTGAATATGAACATGAGTACATAGTACAATGTTATTTCCACGATCATCCCAAAACACAACCATATTGTAACATTTTGTGTGCATATAAATTTTGGGTGCAGAACAACCAAAACATACATCAGGTATTCCCAGAAGAAGACAATTTGAAGCATGCAAACGAATGCCAAATATAACCCAAACAACTATGAGATCGTGTTCGTCACCAAAGATTTAATTTTAAAGCAAGTGATGCAAGCAGAAAACAATTAGGTGAAACAAATACCTCATAACATCAACGAATGTGAAGTTTTTTCAAGTTCTTGCAGCCTGCAGCTATACTGCATATGGCATCATCCCCAATACTTGAGCAATCTACCAAGTGGAGAGCTTGATCCCCAATACTTGAGCAATCTACCAAGTGGAGAGCTTGATCCCCAATACTTGAGCAATCTACCAAGTGGAGAGCTTGCAAGTGTTTGCAGCCCCTGCCAACCTCAGAAAGGGCAAAATTACCTATCTTTTGGCAATACAGCAAAGCTAACTCTGAAAGGCGTCTGCAGTATTTGATCAAGACCAATAATTAAATCAGGAGGGAAGTATTAACAGATGAACAGTGTCAGAAATTTTGAATAATATAAAAGTGGTGATAATTAGCCAAAGCCAAACAAAGCGTGACTTAACACTTGCAATATGGCAAGTCAAAAAATAGGGGGGGAAAATGCATTTTATATGAATATTTTTTCCTGTCAGTGGTAGAAGCCTGAGCTGTTATGCCATGAGTATGCAAATCGAGTCTAAGAGCAGCCATTATGCACAAATTTTAGGTAAGTACTCAAACTATCCCTCCCACACCCTCCATTTCTAGGGAGTAGCAGTAGGAATGGCATCTAAGGAAGGATATGTATGGTTCAGGATGCAAGATAATCCACGGCAGGATTCATACCCTCATTAGTTAACAAGGCTAATCTGAATGCAGATATCCATTCATCAATGAGGTGTCAGGTTGCAACACATTAATAATAATTTAGAAATAAATTAATGACATCAAACCGTACGTGCAAGATCTTCCCACGAACTCTAGTCCACTTGTGCCAATATTGTGGCACCCATTGACTTCAAGAT